TCTAGGAATTTGCGGCAAACGGTCCGGGGACTCTGACCGTGACTCTACTCTGAGTCACCTTCAAAACTACCTGCCCAAACACCTCATTCTCTTTGAACCCAAATCAAAAGGAGTAAAAATAAGAGACAGTCATTTTAAAATATTGTCCAAGTTGACCCGGTGCTGGGGAAGACATGATATCCAAAAAAAAGGGAAAGAGTCCTCTCAGCTGGAAACTGCATTTTATAAACGATGAGGCAGAGCCGCTGAAAGGTGGGGACCTGCCAAGGGGACAGACAGAGAGTGGCTGAGATCCAGCTTGAGCTCTACCAACCCACCAAAAGGGACATCATTTTTTATAAATGTCCGCCCAGAGGGGGCGCCTTCTACTGCTGCACAAAGATGCCATCCAGGCTAGCTGAGGCCCTGGATGAAGGCCCTTTTCTGACATTTTGGCTTGTGTGAAAAACTCCATTTCAAATGGGAGCCGCCTCTAGGAAGAGAATGATACACGCTGCTTAGCATTCTCTAGATGGACCCTGACGCTTTGAGGTCCGAGGCTTAGGTTCCTTATCACCTACTCTCAGGCACTCTCCTGGCATCTTCATTCACAACCTGTGGTGGCAGGCCGGTGTGGTGGTACAGCCTGAAAGCCTGGCCCCAGGAGTCGGGACTCAGAACGGTATATGGAAATGACACACTTTTGGCCCAAGGCATTGGGGTTTTTGTTTTTAGCTGGCTTAGCAGTAGATCTGATCCCCCAAAGAGGAGAAACCAGTTCATCTGAGAAAGAGCTCTGTCATTCGAAAAGTTATTTATTCCAGGCCTGGATGTTTACTGCCAGCCTGGATTCTGGCACGGGAGAATGAGCCTGCCCTGGGTGAGCCCAACTTACTTAGGATCTTTTGCCACATCGGGATATGGTTACGCCTCCGAGGGCACGTCCTCAACAAGCTGGTGCTCACTTTTTCCGGAGAGGGCCCTCCCATCGGACCCTAGCTGACTTGGGCTCTGGGCCTTCACCACCCTGAGATCTGGAACAGCCACCTCGGCCTCTGCCCCAAGCATGAGGGCAGAGCCCAAGGAAATCTTACAAATAACCGTAGACAGACATGAGGACATGAGGCACTGGTGGGTACTTGGCCCCAGCAAACCACCAGCCCTAGGATTCTTCCTTTTCCCACCCCCTACAGGTCATGGCAGCCCCAAGGATGGGGCAAGTCCAAAGCCAGCTGTGATGCCAGCTGCTCCACAGTCAGCCACTGGGAGGCCAGTGTGCTCAAAGTAAATGTCTGTAGACAAAAGGGCCAGACACTCATAAAATAACTTCTTACTCAGTGTCACCAACAATGAGACTGTCAGTTCCCAGATATGTGAGCAGCACAGTAAACCTTCCTTGGCTCTGCCCACAGCCTGATTTCCCCAACATATAAAGTGGGCTTATTCCACTTTTATCCCTTCCTTCCTTCTCCACCTCCCAGGGCTCTGGTAGGGACCAAAGGAAATGCTATAAATGAAAATGCTTTGTAAAGGGCTTTGTAAATTACAGTGTGCTGTTCAGACACTGGTTATGATAATGACGATGATGATTCAATCAGGGTTCTCCATCCCCTGGGTGGCAGTGATTGGTAGGGCAGACATAAACTCAGCCAGCTAATCAGTCCTTCCCGCCACTTCTCTGCCACAGCTCTCGAAGGGGACTGCTTTCTGCTGAGGGTAATGAGTGCTGGGCCTGGGGCTGCTGATGGCCACCTTGTCTCCCCCACAAGGAGACGAGAGTTAGAGGTGGAAAGAGACACAGAGCCCTCACTTCAATGTTTGAGCCCCTGGATACAGCTATGCCTGAAACCAGCACAACTCTGAGATTTACCGTTATATGAACCAACTTCCCTATTTTTTTCCTTAGGCTAGTTTGATTTGTGCATCTGACATTTATTACTAAAGGAGAATTCCAACTATCTCTTGGATGCATTTTAATCACTTATATGTTAGTTTCATAATCATAAAATAACGTTTTTAAGGGAATTTTTTTTTTAGTATACCTCTGAGGGCATGAAGAAGCAGAAAAAAAGCACTGAACAGAGAAATCAACCAATGTGGATTCTATGCATATTCCCACAGGAATTGCTGTGTGACTTTGAGTACATCTCCTAACCTGCCTGGACCTCTCAAAATAGGCAATTGGAGTTAATGCTGTCTGAGTTATTTTATAGCACGAAATATCTTTGGTCCCATAAAACACAATCCAATTAGTCTAATACAAAGTGGTCTTAAGAAAGACTTTCTATACAAATGTTAAGAGTAAAGACTAACAATTAAAAATTAATGTCAAGTATTTGTAATAAAATCTTTTACACTAACAAATTACGTAGGAGATAGCCTCACATAGGAAATTTAATATGAATTCATATATGAACATGAAAATGCTCACCACATCTCCGATTAAATTGGGAAAATTAGAAACAAAAACTGAGAGGGCCTGGTTAAAATAGCTGTGGTATATTCATACAATGGAATATTGTGTAACTGTAAAAATGGAATGAGGAAATTCCTTATATGCTGATATGGCCAATGCCTGAGGCACATTTTTAAATGGAATGGGCAAAATGCAAGGTGGCTGTGCTGGGTCAAAAGACGAGGAAAAGGTCATATGGATGTACTTCTTGGTGTGTGCATAGAAAATCTCTTAAAGAATCTCAAAAACCTGGTACCTCTGATTAACTGATGGGGAAATATACCCAGAGGGTCCACGTACTCCAGCATGGAGACACATCCAGCTGGTGACAGGACACCTAAATAACACCCTCCCTTCAAAATCCACACAGCCAACCCAGCACGTACTCAGCCGCTGGCTGCAGCACCTACTGCAAAGCTCTGAGTGGGGTAGAATTCAATTGGTCCAGGCAAGGACCGAGTCAGGGATTACCACCTCACTCATCCATGGCACTTCCAGAAGAACAGGATGGATGATTCTGGAACAAAGAAGGAGGATGTCCCCACCTCCACAATAAATTGCTCATATCAACAATTATTCAGGTTTAATAAAGAAACATGGATGATGTGAAGCCATGCCATGCCAACCTGTGGTCTGGCCACCTTTAAAGCACTTTAAAACCACTGTTTCCCAAACTTCAGTGTGCCTTGTGGGAACGCAGTCCTGGGGAGGTGGTAAAATGCAGATTCTGATTTAGCAGGTCTGGGGTGAGGCCCAAGATTCGACATCTGTCCCAACCTCCCTGGGGATGCTGTGCTGCCGATCAAGAGCGCACTGTGAGTGTAGTTCTAGAACCACTCCAACCAATATGGGCACAACCAGCCACGTGTGATAACCGAGCGCTTGAAATGTGGCTAGTCTGCAACGAGATGCACTAAACATGTAAAATATAACACTGGAGTTAAAAAAAAAAAATACAAGAAAAAAAATGTAAAATGTCTTGACTCATAATTTCTACATTGATTACATGCTAAAATGATAATATTATGGCCATCTTAGGTTGAATATAATCCATACTTAAAATTAACTTCACCTGTTTCTTTCTCCTTTGTTCAGTGTGGCTACTAGAAAGTATGCAATGATACACGTGGCTTGCGTTATCTTTCCATTAGATTATACCGCTGGGGGAGACTTGGCTCTCCTACAACCTGCACCTCGGGAAGTTTGGAACGACCTCAGTCATCACCCTGAAGTGTCTGCAAGGGTCTGTAAATTCTGCAGGGCCACTGAAATCTTGGATGGAGCTCACTGAAAACCCTAGTCCCCACCCCACCCCCATCTCTAACAAATAAAACTTCTACAAGAATGAAATCTGGGTTAAAATAAACAATCAATACAGGCTTAACCATAGAACCGGGAGCAAAAGCATCCCAAGCAACTGTAAATAGAGATTTTGCAGAGAAAACACAGCCTCAGACATCAGTGTGGAAAGGCAGGAGTGAAGTAACCTTGGGCAGCCTAGTAACCTAAGGCAGCCAGGTCTGTATTATTTGGTGAGGGGAAATGCCAGCTGTGCCTTTGTTCCCCTGAACAGCATTGTTCACAACAGCCTGAGACACTTTGCAGCCCTTGCACCTCCAAAACCAGAGGTTCCTTTAAGGCTGAAGACCCAAGGCAATCACTTGGCCTTTCTGCAACTCTGACCCAGGTCTGAAGATGGCCCTCTAGGGGCACCTGGGTGGCTCAGTCGCTTAAGCATCCAACTTCAGCTCATGTCATGATCTTGCGGTCTGCGGGTTCAAGCCCTGCATTGGGCTCTGTGCTGACAACTCAGATCCTGGATCCTGCTTCAGATTCTGTGTCTCCCTCTCTCTCTGCCCCTTCCCTGCTCACACTCTGTCTCTGTCTCTCTCTCTCTCTTTCTCTCAAAAACAAATAAACATTAAAAAAAATTTTTTTTTTGAAGATGGCCGTCTAGTCAGAAGGGTTATAACAGATCAGTAGTCAAGAAAACTAACCAATTCCTTCTGCGTGGCCACAAGCAATCACCAAGAGGCAAATTTTGAACTCAGACTCTTCCATTTCCATGCCCAAGATGGGTTCTATTTTCAGCAAGTGGCCCTTCTCGGGTAAGAAGCTCCTGAAGTTCATTCACATTAAGGGGGCGAGGGGTATGCTCTCCTTAGAAACACAGAAGCTAGAAGAAGGTTTCTTCACTTGAGGCCACAAGAAGTGTCACACAACCCAAAGGAGCTATAGCTCCTTCGGCTCTAGTCTGGAAAGGCATTCCTCGTGGGTCTGTTCCCACCCTTGCCGGCTTGCTTTACTCCAAGGAGTGACAAGAGGGAGACAAGAGGAAAGAGAAGGCACAAGACACCACAGGAAAGAGACACTCAGGTGAACACATACACATGTTTACACATGAGAGAAGGCATAGAGGAACACCTTTGGGCACCACGGGGCAGGTTCAGTCTCCCAGAGAACTCAGTTCTATAGACAAAGGAGCAAAGCAAACTTGTCCTGGGCCAGCCCAGCCTTCTCCCACCTCTCCCACCATGGGCCCAACCAAGCTTCAGAGGGCACTGACCAGGTTTTATTTCCAGCAGCCGAAGCTTTGGATCCTCAGGTGGGTGCAATCGTCTCTTCTTACGCCAGCAACGAGCAGGGTATGTGTATAGCTGGCCCGGAGCGAGGCCTGTGGATAGAGACAGCATAAAGGTTAAGGGCTCCAGGCTAGAAGGGGCCTTGGAAAATTCCTTGTCTGACCCTCTCCCTCACAGTGAAAGGAAACTGAAGCCCAGAAAGGTAAAGTGACTTAAGGTCACACAGCTGGTTGATGGTAGAGCACAAGCAGTATTAAGTCATCTGACCCCAGGACCCTTGCTCTGTCTACTCCACCATGCTGTCTCAGTAAGCCTACGCCATCACCATGACTAAGACAGTTCAGATCTCCTGGTCTGGGAGATCAGAGGGACCTTTCCAGATTTAACTGCACTGCAGTGTTTCCAAGGCAGGTGGACCCCTAGGTATTACCCATCAACTGTTCCTCTATCCAGGTCCAGGTTAAGGAGGTTCCCTTCAAGGCAAAGCAGCAGAAGTCAATCTGCCTACCTATCGACAGCCTGGATTGAGAAGCATTTCAAGGAAACAGGATCAAGGAGCCAGATTTCCTACCTACTGGCTTTCTCCACCCACCGTTAGCTGCTGGCAGTTTGCTAAACCCAATGGGAGCCCTAAGCAACCCCCATCAGAATATAAGCCTACTCTGGTGACCATGCTCCGGACTCATTCCTGCAGAGCCCGGATACATGTGCAACCCTGCCCACTTGCCTGGGCCTTACAGGAAGAAATGGACAAGAGTCCAGTGGCTGGGCTTATATACTAACCATACTGTCTCTCAAGAGTCTCCATTTAGATTTGAACTCTGGCAACAAAGTTCCACACCAGCATCATCTGTCATACCAACCACCCCATGAGGATCCTCCCTGCTTATCAGACCACAGTCTTATGGCTCCTGTGGCACATAGTGTGGTAGCCAGAGGCGTTGGAGGAATGTGGACTTTCCACAGTAGACAACGTTCTATTCCAAAAAAAAAAAAAAAAAAAAAGACATGGGGTGGAGGCTGGGAGGAGAGGGAGGAGGGCTTAAGACTAGTTAGGCAACGTGCAGACTAAAAAAACTGCCTGATACACCCAAAAGAAACCACCAAGTCAAGCAGTCCACTCCTGCTAGAGTAAAAAGCCTGGTGACAACAGGGACTTTGTCTTATTTTCATCAGAATCCCCAGAACTAGACCTGTGCCTGACATATAGAAGAATCAAACTAAACATTTGCTGAATGAATGAATGAGTGAGTGAATGAATACATTCCAGCTTCATTTAATTAGTCACAACTCAGTCTTCTGTAGATAAATGTGGCCTGTGACAACTGTCAGACCTATGTGAGGAGGTCATTTCCTAAACCTAGGACCATGGGGCTTAGAAGATATCAGGACCCTATTTCCATCTGCTGTCTGCCATTTGGGGACCATTTGTAGGGAAAATCTACAAAACTTTCATTGCTATATATCCATTTATTCATTTCTCATTTTTACTAGTCATCTCTACCCATTCATTTGTTTGGGTTCCAAAGCAGAGACAACTATTCCAGTACTAAAGGAACCAAAATTTTCAAATTCTCTTTATGTGCTAAGTTTCATTTTTAATTGCACAGCTGTTCCCACAGGTTGTAAGTCTGTGAAGCAGCTGAAGGTCCCTCCCCATTTTGGTTCTCAGAAACCATCAAGGGTCATAGAGCCTAGAGGCTCCAGAAAAATCTCTGGTGTCATGAGCTAAGGACTTGTGGTGTCCAAGAGTCCTCCCAATACTTAATTTTGTTGATAGCTTCATAGCTTCTGCACAGTGGGAGGATCCAGAAGCTCTGAGCTCCCCGTTGTCTGAGGACCAGACTTGTGGTTGATTTAGAGAAGATTAAATGAATCACAGTAAGGCTGCTCTCCCTCCCATGGAAGGTCCAGTTTTGACCTCTCTTTGAGGGAAGGCATCACTGGGAATAGTTCAATGTTTTTGATGTGATTCACTCCATGATCCTATCACCTCTGACCCTAGAACTCCTGTATGGCTGCATTGATTCTGATGTCTTCCCAAAGTTTGAGCCACCTCTAAGGCCTGGTATTCCCCATGATCCCAACAAAGGCCAAGTACAAAGGCTGTTTATGGGATCCCTGTTTATGGGATGCATAAACAGGTCCCACCAATCCCTACTCATCTTGGGTTAGTGATTCTTTTTTTTTTTTTACACTTTAACTATCTTACAATTCTATTTATCAGTTATACCTCAATAAAATAATAATAAAAAAGAACACAGAAATCAATTATAATTATAGCAGCTTATTATTCAGTTATGTTCAGTATTATATCTACATAATATAAGTATTAAGCACAAATTAAATGTATTGAGATTCTTTTCTTAGTATATTTTTTAAATTAATTTATTTTTTTATTTAAATCCAAGTTAGTTAACAAAGTGTAATAATGATTTCAGGAATAGAATTTAGTGATCCATCACTTAAATATAACATTGGGTTAGTGATTCTTAATCCAGATTGAACCCAAAAATTACAAGGAGAACTTCTTTTTTTTAATTTTCCTTAAGTTTATGTATTTATTTTGAGAAATAGTGCGATGGGGGAGGGGCACAGAGAGAGGGAGAGAGAGGATCCCAAGCAGGATCCATGCTGCCAGCACAGAGCCCAACATGGGGTTCAAACACACCCATGAAACCGCGAGATCGTGACCTAAGCGAAAACCAACAGCTGGATGCTTAACCAACTGAGCCACCCAGGTGCCCTTACCTGGAGAACTTCTTAATAACCTCAAGACCAAAAATTCATGCCAGACCTACCCAATCTGAATTTAAGTGGGTGGGAAAATTGGGCCAACTATTTTTTCAAGAACCTTATAGATTTTTCCAGTGTCTGACCAAGGACCTCTGGATGTCTAAGCATCATCTACTTACTGCCTAGATGTTCTCTCTGATATACCAAAACTGGTTAAATGGCCTTCTCTAAAGTGTCTCAAGGTTCCCAGTGTTTCCCCCAAGGTGTTGTCATTAATTGCCTGCTTACTAGAATGTCTCCCCTACTCGTTTTGTAAAATCCAGAATGACAGGAACCGTGCCCATCTCTGGTATCCCCAGTACTTAGCACAGTACCCGGTAGGCACCTCAAGAAGTACTTACCAATAAATTTAACCAGAACTGAATCAGATTCAGAAATGCAGAAAGTGAATGACCTACTATTCCTGGTTCCAGGAGACTCATCCACCCACATTCAAACCATCCAAGAGGGACCCCAGAGGCAGGCTCAGAAGTGAGCACAGAATCCACCCCAAGATGGCAGTCTCTATGCCTTAGGCTCCTTCTTGCCCCACAGGCTGCTTCAAAGTATTTCCAACCTGACCAAAAGCAGGTGAGTAAGAAGGGACTGGTCCAGACCAGCACTCTCAAAAGATCTAAATGACAAGAGGTCAAAATTGTCAACACTTGCCCAAGGGCCTATGCCCTCCCTGAGACTGTGGTCACTGCACGTGTTGGTCAGCAACACCAAGGCAGCCTCGGGCCCCTCCGTTTATAGCTGCAGACCCACTCACTCTCCTGGGATTAAGTAGTCCAAATGGCCAGAAGATGGGACTATTTTTATTTCATTCTTTAACTTTCTCTGATGGATTACAGAAGCCCTGTGATGCAGAGGAAGAGCATGAGTCCTCCTACCACCAATCCTGTAACCTTGGAAATATTACCACACATTTCTGACCCTGTCTCCTTGCCCATTAGACAAGAGTGTTAATAGTACCTACCTTACAGGGGCTGTTGTAGGCATTCGCTTATATTCAAGAAGAAGCTCTTTATAACCATGAAGCCTTGTGCAAACGTCAGTTATTAATTATCATGAGTTAGCGGACATAGACGAATCTGGACTCTATGGCCATGTGGCATGACAAGGCCCCCACCCCACGTGCCCATGCTGCTCTTTGCTCCTCTAGCCATGAGGGTAGAAATAGGCCTCTCTTTGATGTCTGCTTTGACTCCACCTCATCTCAACAAGCAAATGACCCCAAGAACTCTCTCGAGGCTCTAGCCCCCCTTCCTTGCCCTCCTCCCTAGGCTGACAAGCACCAGGGTGCCTTTATAGGGCCAATGCATTCAGCCCTGGAGTTCCACTTATAGAGGGACGAGCACAGCCCCGTGAGAGTTATGTTGTTTATCTCATTAGAACAGGAGGCACATAACTCAAAGCCTGTGTGTGTGGTAGATGGAGAGGGGAGGGAAAGGGGAGTAGGAGGAGGGAGTCACAGCTGCAGCCAGGGAAATTAACCTGAAGGAGTGAGCCTGGGGCTAGGGGGAATATGGAGGAGGGGGGAAAGGAGGCAGGAGACAAGAGGGCTGACTAGTCTTCCCTGGTAACCAAGGCCACAGCTACCCCTCCATTCACATACCCCACTGAGCAAAGTGCTTTTCTTTTCCTTTGAGCTGCAACTCCAGTTACAACACTCATACTCATGTACAAGCACAAGTATCTCTCTCTCTCTCTCTCTCTCTCTCTCTCTCTCTCACACACACACACACACACACACACACACACACACACACACACACTCACAAACTCACACACTTGCTGGAGGGAGAACTGTCTCCATAGAAAAAAATCATCAGGATGGGCTTGATGCCTGTATGGTCAGCAGATTCCAGACAAGTCACTTGTTACCAGCATCGGTCAAGTCAGCAGGTGGACCCTAAGTATCATTATCCCTGACAGACATGGCATGAGCTATTAAGAACCCAGATGGGGGCGCCTGGGTGGCTCAGTTGGTTGAGCATCTAACTCTTGGTTTTGGCTGAAGTAGTGATCTCAACGATACATGGGATTGAGCCCCGCATCAGGATCTGTGCTGGCAGTGCACAGCCTGCTTAGGATTCTCTCCCCCCCCCCCACCCTCTCTCTCTCTCTGCCCCTCTCCCATGCTCTTTCTCTCTTTCAAAATAAATAATAAACTTTTTTTTTAATTTTTAAAATAAGGGCGCCTGGGTGGCTCAATCAGTTAAGCATCCCACTTCAGCTCAAGTCATGATCTCGTGGTTCATGGGTTCAAGCCTTGAGTCAGGCTCTGTGCTGACAGCTCAGAGCCTGGAGCCTG